AATCAGACTCTAGGTACCTCAGAAAATTTTTTATGGTGCCAAGGCTTTAGCGAGTTACATAAAATTCATTTGGAAATACACAGAATTTGCATTCTCCCTAAAGTAATAAAATTAGCTGTAATGATATAATTGTCATTAATCTAGATAAGAATACTTGGCCACATAGTAATGTCACCATATACAGCAAATATTATGAAAATAAAACGTTTTGAAGCCTCTTTTCTGTAATTTTGAGCACTGCTGTAACAAAATCATGAAATTAGATACTGTACAACTACAGAAGAACTCCTGCAATAGAACTCGCAGCCTTTTCAGACCTATTTTCTCCTTCCTTTTGCAATTTAATAGTATCTTGAGCCATTAATAATTCTGGCAGGGTTTTTTGTGTTGGTTTGTTTGGTTTTTTTAATCCCAAATACATATGGAAATCTTTTGAGAATTTTTTTCCATCTGATTTAGTCATACAGATATATTTTGTCAAATAGCTTGTATTACCTTATGGATGTTCCTTGCACAGGCAGACACTGCTATATTTAGAAATTTCTATTTAGTTCACTCAAAACTGCAAAACCAATCTGTATCATGTACCAAAATGATTTAAAATAAACCTACATGTTTCTGGAATTAATCTGATTTATTAAACTCACAGTGTGTGTCTGTGTGTGTGCGCGTGCGCACATTTTGGCTATAAAATTTAATAATAGCAGATTGATCTTATTGGCCTCTTAGGAAATTGGTAGTATACTTATTGGTCCCTTAAATTGTTAGGTGCCATTTTCAGCTCTGACTCATAACAACCCTATAGAATTCTGCCCAATCCTGTACCACCTTCACAATCTCTTGTCAAGTGCTCCAGGACTACCATTCTCATTGTCAGCTACAACTTGTTATGATTCACACAGTCAAATGCCTAGTAAATAAAGCATGAATAGACATTCTGGTATTTACTTTCAGACATGATCTAACATAAACAGTGATACTCCTGGTGCCATTTTTACTATTGATCATGCTGTCTCAGAAGAAAGAATTGTGTAATTTCTGGCCTTTCAAACTCAATGGAGGATCAGCTATGAGTCCTTTCCTATTTGATGGTAATGATTGGAGCTGATTGCATGGTCTTGCTTTGGACATGGTTGCCAGGAGGGTTCAATTTCTGTAATGAAACATGCTTGAAAAAGTGGAAAGTCAGCAAAAGAGAAGACCCTCAGTGAGATGATTGATGCAGTGACCACAACAATGGGCTTCAGCACAGAAGGGGCCATGTGGCTGGTACAGGATCTGTTGTCCGTGGGATCTCTGGGAGTTAATGTCCATCTTGATCAATATTGATCATAAACAGTAAAAGTACCTGGAAATTCCATGTTGCATATATAGTCCCTACTTACATTGTGTAGCCACAGTCAGGATCACTCACTCCAGTTAGTGAAATAATCTCTTGTTGCTTACTGCTTTACTGGCATAAACAACTAGAAATGGACAAATGTCAGGGTCACCTTACATTAATAGAGCCATATTTGTGTCCCAGTTAAAGCATCCCTTAGTGACTAGGGGAAAGCTTGGGGCTACTGGGATAGGAAGATTTTTATGTAAATATAAATGCATTAGGTGTAAAAGTGAGAAGAACCATTCCCACCACTATTCCTTGATTCTTGGGCCCATACACTGATTTAAAGAAATGCTTGCTATAAGACAAAAATCTATAAATTCTAGAATTCTCTCTTGACTGTTGCTGTAAGTGAGCATTCAGCAAACCATTCCACCTTTTAACTACTTCACAGAATTGAGGTTTATCAAGATGGGGGTAATCTAACACTTCTTTGCTATGAACTTGATTCCTTAGATCAGAGTTACAAGGATTTCCACATGATGGACAAGACATTGTATGAGTCCATGAAACAGATAGTGCTGGCAAAAGGATACAAGCAAGAAAAGCAATCCATAACTAGAATATACATCAATATTAATAAAAAGGAATCTCTGTTCCCTTTATTGTGGAAAAGATGCAGTATAATTAATCTACCATCAGGTGAATGGCTGTTCATTCCCTTGGTACTGGTGCCTACTGAGGGCTCAGTATTTATTGGTCTTGCCTCCTAACAAATACTTGGCAGTACTAGTAACTATATCAGACTTGGTAAGGGGAAGTCTGTATTGTTTAACTCACATATCCTCTGTTCCTGACACTGTGGTCACATTGTTCATTGGCCCATTGAGCACACACTGGGGTCACTAGGAATGAGTCTGCCTGACACCCAACAGAGTATATTATTTTTGTCCACCTAACTTTAAAGAGCCTTCTCCATTATGCCTTCTGATGGGCATGCACTGGGATCATGAACGTCTATAGTCTGTATCCGTCCATTCTGAGCAGTCCATCCATATACATATTTATAGACTTCTTGTCACAAGTTAATTTTTCTTCCAAATTCCTGAGAATTCAGCCAAATTCTTGGCAAATGCCTGTGGATTAGCATAGATCTGTATTTAGGATTATGAGTTCAGGCAGTGAACAGCCCAATGTTCAGAGCTCAGCGTTATGCTAATTGAGCGTAATTTCATCACTTTTCTTCAGGAACATCCTAGAGTGTAGCTATAGTACTATTTGTATTCATGTTTAGATGGAACCTATCACAGAGATCCATATCTAAACAAAGGTTGAGCTTTTAAAAATTTCTTAGCCAACTAGGAGCACATGGGTTGAAAAGAAGTAACCAAACTGGAGTTGGTATTAAAGGAGTCTCAGCCGTTTGTTCCTGTAACCTACCACCCAAGCCTACTCAAGTGAACTCCTTTATTTCACGTTTCCATTTGATGATGAATTCCTGCTATGTATGCCTAAGCTTATGAACAGATGGTTCCAAACACCAAAAATCAAGTATGTCACCTGATCACCAATGGTTAGGTGCTCACTAAGCTAAGGCACATTAGCAAGCCAGAAGCTGTTTCTCAGAAGAACACGTTACCTGCAGGGGAAAAAAAAGTATAGATTTGCAACAAAATCACTAGGTCTGTTTTATGAATCTCCTACTGGCACTTTGTAGAGGCTCTGAACAGTGTGTATATATCATAACACTTGGGAGAATCATTGGATCTGCTGGATGGATCATAAGGCTTAAATGATCTAGCAGTTTCTCTTAGCATGTAAACTTGAAATAGAACCTCTCTTGTTCTCACTCACATCTAGGTAATCTTATGGGTAACTTTATAGGTGTGTTGTGTAGCCCACTCAAATATGGCATATGTTGCTTTCAAAATTCAGAAACACGGAGCATCTTTACTTCTTTCCTCTCTGTGTGTATATTTGTTTTTAATATGAGGTGCACTTGTCCTTAGCCCCTTGCCTTTCTGCTTCCTTAGTAACTCTGGAATCCATGTGGAGATAACACTGCTAGTTGAGAGGCAAGGGATCATTAGAAAGAATACAAATAAATTCAAGTCTTAAAAATATAAAGCTAACTTAAATCTTACTTTGTTTGGGACAGTCAAGGTATCTCAGTCTTACTCCATATAATCAATCATCTCCTTAGTACTGTTGTTCTGTGCTATTGAGTTGGAACCAACTCATAGTTGACCCTCCATCGGGGTTTTAGAGGCCAAAAATCGCATGGAGGGAGACTGCCCATTGTTCTCCCGCAGAGTGGATGGTGGATTTGAACTGTGTACTTTGCATTGGCAGCATAATTCCTTACCATTAAGCCACCAGAGCTCCACAGTACTACTAAGAAAGTCTGTTGTTGTTGTTGTTGTTATGTGCCGTTGAGTCATTTGCGACTCATAGCGACCCTATGTACAACAGCCCTAAACCGTGCTCTATCCTGTGCCAGTCTCATTGCCTCTGACAC